AGAGAGAGAGAGAGAGAGAGAGAGAGAGATGAATATTCATTTATGATCAGTTAAACGAACATTTGTAGGGTGTTTTGGGAGGGTGGAGGAGGGTGGAGGTGTGGGCAGGTGTTAAAATCGAGAAGCATTAGATTCTAGAAGAAAAGAAAACGTATTCGCCCTACGCACGGCATGAACATAACATATGCATCTTCTTTTGTGATTGTTTAACAGTTCAACTTGAACTCTCGACGCTGCAATTTCGGGACTCAAATCAGTAGATAGAGAAGATTATCAAAAAATAATAATTCGGCTCGTCACTGTAATTGTTCATTCTTCAGTTTCTGAAGATGGGCAATGCATCTTCAGAAGGCAGTATTTCTTAAGCGAAATAGAAGAAAAAAGGGTTAAGATGACTTGTGTTTTCTGTCTAGGCCAATGAGGTCAATTTTGGAAGAGGAAAGAGTTGCCACATTTTGACTATTTAAAAGCATCACTTCCACCCGTTGATGTGCGCAGCTTACGGGCGTCCCCCTTAGCATTAACGTGCTGATGTACGAAAACGTACAATAATAATTATTGTGAAGATTTCCTTTTGGGAGCTTTCATAACATTCTTTTTGGGCCCCACGTCCAAGTTGCTAAATAGCCACTAGAGTGTGCCCTTGAGCAAAACACGATAACCCAAGCTAAGAAAAAATGAAAAGAAAAATAGAAGAAAAAACAAAAACAAAACCACAAGGAATAATTATCAGGATGTTGCATTGTAACAACGAGTAATGTTTTTCATATTATTAATTAAAAATAAAAAAGCATTATCTGTATGTTTCAGCACGTATGTATCTATGCATCATGTTCATGTATGTGTATGTTATACTATTGCTAATCACACGATTTATCAACGGGGATTAATTAAAGTGAAATTTTATTTTATTTATCTTTACCTTTACAATTCATTCTCTTCTCTCTTACCTATTCGCCCTTGTAGCATCTTTCGTCACGCACGAAGAGGCAAGCACGATGAACGGCCTAAGCACTGTCCTGACCCTCTTGGCACTTCTGGTAGCCACAGCTCACGGCATCGGGGCCGGTGGCTATTCCGGGTTCGGATCCCTGTTGGGATATGGAGGAGGAGCGGGACCTTTGTACCCGGGGATCGTTGGCGTGCCTGGTGTCGGCGGGAAGTCTCACGGACATGGAAGTGAGTTGGTGTTTGCCTTTGACTTATAAAAAAACCACAAAGAGCGCTTTGCGCAAGACGAAGAAGAAGAAGAAGACCATCACCATTTGAAAAAAACAAAACAATTCTAATGAAGCCCTATTTTGGCGAATACGTCATGTTGAACATGACAACTTTGAAGGTAATACACGCGTGTAAATTTAACATGTCTGTGTTTTTTTAAACGTCTATACGACGACGACGACGACGACGATTATGATGGTAATGATGATGATGATGATGATGATGATGATGATGATGATGATTGTTTTTTTGTGTGTGTATGTTCCTGAAGAAGCCCTTTACCGGGCGAAACGTTGAACCTTTATAACATTCGGAAATTCTACAAGTCTCAACCCTTTTTTTTTTTTTATTCCTTGCT